TGGGATAAATTTGTGGTAACATTTGACCTAATACGTACGTAAGACTCAATAAACCTCTGTTATGAATGAAGAACGATATTACCTACCCTAGCCTACACCTGTACGCCTAGGTCTTCAAATAAAACCATGTGTTTTTATTCATCAATTTACGGTGTCATAATAAAGTGCTGAAATAAACCAAGTGTCTAGTGAATTAATTCATCGCTTTTTATCTTATATTTGACTGAAAAATGAAGATATTGTAAGATTACCTACACGGCAAAGGTACTTTCGGAATTCTTCTTCATGTCTATTTTAAACAACAGCGTTGGGTGTTGTCTGGGAGTGCTGAGACAAACCATGTGCACTGGGTGAGACAAACAATTAGCGTTTGTGTTCGCGTTAATGATCTGATTATTTTGTGTTCTCTTGTATTTAATATTACAACCCAGTTTTGTAATTCAGATTTAGTTACGCCAAAACCAGCAGCAGTGACCAAATTTTATAAGCTTCAAAATGATAGTTTATTTGCTAGAATCGATTTACTACTTCTAAAGTTAAAAATTATTAGTTTATCTGTACTAAAGTATACAATACTCCCACATTCTTATGCTATAATCAGTTTAACATTTTAGTGACAGTACGCTGGTTTTTGAATGCTAAGCCTTATAATGTACATTTTACCTTAAAAGTAACATTCTTGGAAACTTGTGCACACTCAGTCAGTGAGTCATCTAAAAAACAGAATAAATACATGAATAAATTCTCATCAATCGTAACAAATCTCATAATATAAAAATGTTATCTTCATTACTTATTTTTATTACTTATAGTTTTTCTGTCTCATGCATTGTTAATATGTTTTATTTGATTTTAATCCATGGCTTTGGTTATTTCTAATTTAATTACAGTATTTATTTTTTAACACTCTAGATACAATTTTTTTTTTTTGCTTGGCATTTTGATTTTGATGTTGATATTGTTGGGCAGATGAGCTACTCAGAGCAAATGGTCAAACAGGCTTTTAGTTTAAGGAGTGAGTTTAGTTTATAGGGCTACATTAGTTTATATTTTTTGGTTTATGCACTATATATCAAAGTCAAAGGAGCTCAGTCAACAAGTACTCATGTGCCATTTGAATGTTGAGCTAAAAATTCAAACTATTATTTACTTAAATATTATTTTTGATTTATTATACATCCAAGAGCAAGTAACTTTATGAGGCTTAAGCCACATTTACAGAAGACACGGTTACGACACGATACAGATGTGCGCAGCGTTGAAGAATACAAGCTACGCGATATGTCATTGTCATGTCATAATCATGTCTAGTGTGAACTGCATTCACATCGGACCTGGAAAAAAATTTGGACTGCGTATACGATGTGCTGAGTTACAACGTCCGTTTCTTATACCCCTTTGACACTATCAGCGAGACTCCAGAGAAAACCCGCTTTTACTTCACCGTTTTTGATACACCGGGTTTCAAACACCCGAGTTAGGGTTAGTGTAAATGGGTGAATGTCAACGACTCCGGTGTGCTGAACCCGAGTTCAACGAAGCTGAATGTTTTCTGGAGAAAATTCTCTGGGATAGTCAAGTTGACATCAAAACACACAGTGTAAACAGACCCTGATGTTCACAAACCGGGATTTTAATCATCCACTTTCATTAAAATTATTCAGTTTTTTTCTAATAATTTAACTATTTGTATATTTTGACCGTATTTAGTTAAAAATAATAAATATAATGTTTTATAAAGTTATATTTTATTGCTTGGGATTCTATTTTTGTTTAGAGATTAATTTGGTTTTTAGTGTACAAATAAATTAAAAACTTGATTGCTGACTAATGAGCTAGTTTTCCTCAAAAATGTCCCTAAAGGGCAGCGTTCAACATCGGTGTTCAGCCAGTGTTCGTTGTCAAGTGTTAATGGGTGTGACTCGAGATCATCCCGCAGTTTCTTCATTAAGTATAAATGGATTTGGCTCCGGTGCCACACTGGTGTTTGTTTTGGTTTGATAGTGTAAAAGTGGTATTACACACTGATTTTATTTTCTGATCGGTTCAGGTAGTTGTGAATGCAGCTTCAGAAATTGGGTTGCTTTTAGTTGTGCCCAGGAGACTCTGTAGTTGTCTCATATGCTGTTGCACTCTTTCAGCAGTACAACCTTATTTTATTCATTTACTTGAGCCTAATTAGCTTTTAGATATCCAAAGTTTTGAGCATATTTCTGATTCATTCCCCTGAAAAAGTCAAAACTATTATTTTTCCACTACTAGCTGTCTATTATTAAGTAAAAATTTTTACCTAGAATATGCTGAGGCCTAGGACTCTTAAGCTTAATAAATTTCCAACTGTTACAAATCGGATCAATCTCAATATCAAGTGGTTCAGATTCTGCATTATGTAAAAACACTTGGCCGTAAAGTGACGGTAACTCATCCACAATCTGTTGTCCCCTGAAATGAATAAAAACTTTAATAATTATGTTGGTAAAATAATATTCATTTTCACAGTCTACTTTTGAAAAATAAGAACCCATTTACAGTGTATTTTTGAATGTAAAAACACAAGTTCAAAAGCATTATGCATGGAGTAAATGGCCAAACATGTTTAGTTTAAAGTTGTTTTGCCATTTACAAATGGAAGTCTTGGAAATATGAAAAATACCTGTTTAAATCATGCAAAAGTCTTTGAAAATTCTGAAATAAAAAAAAAAAAAAGTCAACATCATAATAATGCAAGGAAAGACACAAGTATTGCAGTATCATATTATGCTATTTCAGTAAAGATCAAAAAGATATTTTTTTTTAAACGTAAGCTGTAACCATGAATTTAGTTAACAAAAGAAAACATGAAAATGAGAAAATAAATAAAATATCATAAAAGAACCCAACACCGGTGTACCAATGTTCAATATTTTAAATACAAAAAAAACCAAAAAAAAAAACAAAACTCAGGGCAGTACCAAAGTATAGTATAAAGATGTAATAAAAAGGCGGTTCAGCAATGCGATGATTATTAACACATGATAATATTGATATAATGAATAACACTTATTTATAATACTTTAGTATATAGATGTGGTACAGCATTTAGATTTGCTCTTCTAGAATAATTAGCTTTTGGCTACTATTAGTTGGAAAAATATGTCAGTGCCTTCTTGTTTACTTAGGCTTACTTTTGGATTTCTTGGATTCCTGTGAAATTTTGCTTTTGTAACCATAAATTCAAGATCATTTCGAATATTTTTCAAAGGCTGTGTTTTTTGTTTCCAGGTCTGCAAATTAGACTGATGGATTTTTGCAATTTCATTTTCCAATCTGGATTCCTCACGGTTCAGTTCCACTATTAGAGCATTTTTATATTTTCTATATTTTTCCAGACAATCATCTGTGTTCTGTTTTATACTCTGAAAAAATAATAAAAATCACCATTATTATATATTTTGCTTGGTAGTACTTTTCCAAAACAAATTTTGTTTTCATAATCATTAGTTTCTAAAAACTATTATCATTGTCAGTCATTACCATTTTTATCATTTTATCATCATTATCACTAACATCCCCATCATCAACCATATCGTTATTGTTGTTGGTGTCACACACACCAACAACACTTTAATTTCATCTTTATTTCAACTTACAGTAAAAGTTTAACTTACATTTCAAATATTATATACCGGGTATATACATGGATATCATTGTAAATCTGTGTGTGTTCTTGAAATTATATATCAGTCATTGAAACAAAAAATTATGACAAGGCATGTAGATTATAAATCTATATACTGGTATATATA